ATATCTTACTCTAGCTGCCACTACTGGTCTTTTCCATGTCTTGCTGTTTTAACTTGAGTATTTGCATACTGTATTAATTTAACATACTGTATAAATAAGATGGATAAAATGAAGAAAAAAATGAGTTAAACCTAACAATTACATCTGTGACTGTCTCTGATTCCTAAAAATATTATTCTGTGGCATTGTATGGATTGCCTAATTCACTGTTGTCTTGTACTATATTGAGTTCCACAGAGGGACCGTAAATCAACCTGGGAAGTTATGAGGAAAATTGTTGCTACAAATGGGATTACTGGATTATTTGCTGGTAAATTTTTTCCTATCTCTGAAAAAATTGAGACTAGAGAGTTCTTATTTATAGATGTTAACATGCATAAATTATATATTTCCATTTCTGTAACTGTCAGTTATGCAATTGCATATATAAAGCAACAGACATGCAGACTTTGGCCTCTCCTGGGATCTTGTTGGTAGTGGACCATGGGATACAGCCCTGGAGGGAAGAGAGGCTCAAGAAAGCTGGTTAATGTTCAAGAATCACCCCCTCTAGGCTCAGGAACAATGTATCCCAGAGAAGAGAAATCAGGTGAAAACTCCAGGAGGCCTATATGGAGGAAGAAGGAGCTCCTGGACTAACTCAGACACAATAAGAAAGCCAGTAGAGGGTGGAAGCAAGGACAGGTAACCTGTCACAGGGAAATGGTCCAGGCAGACAAGGATCAGGTTAGGAAATAAATCTGGCCAGGGATGTCAAGGGCAACAAGAAAAGCTTCTATAGATATGTTGGTGATCAGAGGAAGACAAGAGAAAACACTGTCCATCTCCTGCATGACTATGGCAGCCTGAGGTGGAAATGACAAGATACTGAGATTAAAATTATATTGAGATAAAATCCTATTGTAGTTCATACTAAAATGACCATCTGCAAGAGACTTCCCAAATCCAGGATACTTACCAGACTTCACCACACTGCACTGACTCATTGGGCGCCCTTGTGTGAGTGACTGCACAGCCTTGCAAGACTTGTGTTTGCTGAAAGACATGAAACTGCTTTACTCGCTGTACAGTGATGGCATAGCTGGGTAACAGGCTTTGCATATTTCAGAGCACCGATGCAAGATACCACAAAGTATCAATATTATTGATATTGAATTCAGTTAATTGAATAAAATACTTACACATAAGGCTTGACACATGGGTAGCAGAGTTTTGAAATACTCTTGATCAGCCACCACTTTGGTCGAGCTGGCCACACATAGCTGAGATGGCTGGGGTTGGTCTGCCTGGCTCCTTGCTGCTGTTCCAAAGCAACACAAGTTCTCCATAGGTCGTGGGTCATCTGAGCTGGCTCTCTGCAGACATCTTTGCCTTTCAAGGGAAAGTAGAGGGCTGGCTGTGTGCACACAAGGGGATTTAGCCTTATTTCCCTTCCTCTAAACTGAATCACTTTCTAACCTCCACTGGCAAGATCACAGTTGACTGTAACGGGAGACATTTAACACTAAAATTCCATCACTTGTACCTGTGACCACGATGCTTCATTTTAGTAGAGGCCACCTTTTGTGTGCTGGAGCACAGGAGCCCTGCAAGTTCAGGTGTTCCAGTTGCATGGAGTCAGAAGGGGCAGAGACACAATGGACTTGAGGCAGGCAGACCACACAAGATAGCAGAGGTGAGGGCATAAGGTTATTACATTGGTAATACCTACAGCCAGTAAATTCAGTATTTTGAGGCATGTGAGCAGGTAGAATCCCAGCTCTAAACTGATATACTGTGCTATTGATATATTGTGATCCATACATTGTACTGCAGCACTTGAAAACAAGTGGTAGTGAATATTTCCCTTTCTCTTCTGAGCAGGTATTACTCCACGGCTGTTTAAAGTTGCTCCTGCTTGTGCCATAATGATCAGCACATATGAATATGGAAAGTCTTTCTTTTCTCATTTAAATGAAAAAAAGAATCGACATCCTTAATTCTTCTTCATCCAATTGTATGAAGTCAAAGTATATGATAGAAGTTGTGCCAAACTTAAATCTGTGAAGAAGTTTTTTAGAATTCCCAGTGGATTTCTACCATTACATTTGGTAACTAAATAAAGTTTCATTTTTAACTTTCACAAAGGATTAATTCACTCTTTTTATTAAGAGTAAGAAAATACACGTCAGCCTTAAACTATCATTGAAGATTTTGACTTCTCTTGCAGCTGGACAGAAAAAAAGAAAGGAAGGAAGAACAAAAGAAAAAAAAAGGAAGACAAGAAAAATTGAGGCTGGACATAGCAATGAAGAATAATGACTTCCACTGTGTTAAATTTTCAGTCATGATTAAACATTTTAGTTGGGTTTTAAAATTGTGTTTAAAAATGTTTCGGGTTTCCAATTGTAAGATATATTTTATTTCTCAGTAAAGAGGTTGATACGGAGTGAATTTAATAAATATTTATTCTTGCTGCTTGTTATGTGTTTCATTCTGTACATGTTTATTTGCAGCTCTGTTTTATGTAAGTGCATATTATAAAAGCTCAGGTTTATTTTAAATGAAAAATTCTGTCAAACTGGAAAAATACTTATGCTCATTAGACACTGAGAGAGCATGGTGCATACACTGCTGGGGCAGCAGGGGCTTTTTGTTTAAGGTAACACTCGAAGAAGGTAAAGCACACCCATGCATTGAAGCCAAAGGCCTGCACAGGTACTCTGCAGGAACACTCCTTCACGGTTCTGGGAGGTGCAAGTTGTTACTGTCACAGCGCTCCAAGGCAGGGCCAGGCCATGCACCCTTTGTCTCGGAAGGCCCAGGCTGCTGGCACAGGGAGAGGTGATTCCATGCCAGCTTGACTCTGCCCTGTGTCCCTCTGAAGGGAAGAGCAGGTTCAAGTTGCTGCCACAGGCACAGCCAGGCTCTGCCCCAATGTGCTGCACTCCTGCTGGGAACAGCTGCAGCACTGCACTTGCCTGTAGGAACTCAAATTACTAAATTAGAGCTGCCTCTGTATGATTTAAATTATTTTTAACTACCCTCACTACCTCCCTCCTTTCATGCATTTTCAATGCAGTTGTTGAATTCTATTTTTTTTGTGTATTTTAATGAGGTACTGATACAAAAGCAACTCAGAAGTCAGATCATCAATGTCAGACACTGACATTTGGATGTGCTTTACCCAAGAAATGGAGTTCAGTCCATGGTGAAAATTCCTCACACACTGAAAAATGCTCTACTTGTAAAGATATTAGGTACCATGGTGCTGCCAGAGGAGATGCTTAACACTGTTCCTCCACTGTGACTTTTGAATGTAAATTTACAAAATAAGGGTTAAGAGAAAACAGTAGCAGCAGATATTAGATGACGCTGAATGATAGAAAGCAAGAAAGTCTCCCTCTTGTGCAAGAAAAGTATTTGCTTTAAACTCAGTAACACTGTAATTTACTGAATGGTCTTACTTTATCCTGTGTGATTAAAACAGAGACAACAAATTGTAACTAGTGATGATACAAAATTTTTAATTTACATGCAACATTTATGGAACATCAAGGCAACAAAACATACAGTTTTGGCGGTTCAAAATTCTTTTTTAAAAAATGGAAAATGTTTAGAACTGAGAAAGATGCACATAATTGATTGCCCATGCACAAAATGACACCCAGAAACACATGTCAGACTACATAAAAGACTTCAGTTAAACAACACATGTAGCTCTAAGAAAAGAGCAATCAGTGAACATGACTGAAGATCATGATTACTGCCCCCTCCAAAACACTGATGTGATGTGAGAAGTGTTTAACAGCAAACAAGACCAATTTAATCACTGTACATTGATGCAGAATGTTAACTTGTGGAATCTGGATTCCCTCATTTTATTTGTAATAAAAATGAATCTCTAGTTTACAAATTTATATTTAATAATGTTACTCAAGAAACAGGTGCTTAATGTGATAAGAAAAAAGAGTTCCATGAAGTAATGGACATTCTGAAGGTGTATGAAAGGATTTAATGGTCAGAGTTTATTACAGAGAAATTATCTGTGTGGATACATGAGGGCTTGAAAGACCTGGTGGTTTTGTTAAACTGCTTTAAAATTCTGTATTAAAATAGCATCAGTGGTTGTGTACCCTGCCATGGATGTAGAGACTTCCTCAACTAGAGAGTTGAGGAGATGGATTCTTATCCTCTAGCTAAATCCAACAGTGCCTTGAGTTCCAGAAATGCATAGCCTCATACTTAAAAAGACTAAATATTTCAGTTAAGGTAAGAATGAATCGTCTTTCTTTCAAGCCCTCCCTATGATGACCAATTTAAAGTAGTAGTGCCAAGGTATCATCACAAGAGGCAAATCAACTAAACCTGTACAGAGTGTAGTGACATACTGTAAACACCTAGGAGTAAGCAATAATTAAAAATCTGTCTTGTATTGCAGCTACTCATGTAAACAATGTATGAAACTTCTTTGGCACAAAAAAGCATTTTCCCTAGCACTTATAAATACAACATACTTACATGCATTTCACTTTTGTTTAAAAATTTACTAATCATACTGATAAGCATTACCTTGATTAGCAAAATTCATAGATAAAGGATCCATTGTATCTTACAAAGAATTAAGAATATAGTTTGCAATTCAAAAATTATTTTGCAAACTTTGAAACTGTAGGGTAATCTGGAAAGTTAGTTAGATTTAAAAAAATGTCTCTCTTTTTTTTTTCTCCTATCAGTAATTTAAATAAATGGCAAGTAGTTTGAGAAAACTGACTTACAGAAGTTCTGCTGTATTACCTAAGCAAGAAAAATACCGACTACTACAGGGATGAGAGAAGTCTTTTAACACACAAATACAGTCATTACATTGTTTCTCCTTTTTCACTCTCCTTGGGATCTTGCCAATAAACACAGAATCCAAACTTCACAAGATGCTTGCTTACCCCCATCATCCATAGTCCCCATCTTTTCAGCAAGAACCTTTTGGATAACGTTAGATTATCTGTAACCCAGGCCACTTAAAAGCATTTAGTGATTTTGCTCACCATTTAGAAATCACTATGTATGCTTGATTTATATGATCAAGTTACATTTGTTATTCACATGCAATTTCAAGAGTTTGTGTTTCAGTGTGACTGGGACATCTAAGTGCCATGATATTAACAGGAATGCAAAACCTAACACTGAGTCAACTTGAGAAAAGCTGTTGATAGGTTAAATATGCTGAGGTCCTACACAACATACACAGATGAAAAGCTGGATTTTTAGACATTTATTTGCCTATAAAGACTGGTGTTCAGGATTCCCTGTCTGTTCTGCAGGAGTTGATAAATATTTAAAGAACTGCAGAGTACGTGGCTAGAGGTGGTCCAGGCTAGTGCAAGGAGAAACAAAGCTGATTATTTAAGTATGGTCTGATTTCCAACTGTTTCATTAAAAAAAATCAGTTGTAGACATCAGATTATACATTCTGTACCTGACAAAGAGATTTAAATAATTCTAGACTAAAATAGAATATTTGAAAAGTCCTCTGGGGGAAAGAAAAAGCAAATTTGTGAATTATAAAGGTATCCATGACAAGAAAAAAATAAAGCAGCTTTTTTTAAACTCTGAACTAGTAGTCTTCAAGTCATCTTATGGTACATAAACCAAATGCATACAACAGAAAGCTCTTCCTTCTTGTGTGCATCTCAAGATGGTGTTAAGCCTGGACTTGTCATCTCTGTTGTGGGACTTGCAAGGTATTCACTTGATTTCAGACTTGTGAGAGACTTGTAGCTTGCTACTGATGTAAGAGAGCCACAAAGACCAAGCAATGATGGAGTATCTTCCTTTCCTGTTATGAAAAATAAGAATTAAGCTAATAATTTTTGCAGCACAAGATTAGTTGACCATAAAAAAATTGGAAGACCTGAAAAAGCTGTTTAACCTACACTGCTGTGAATTCCATAGTATGTTTCAGCACAGGCATGTTTCATAAATGCAATTGGGATGATAACTTACACCACACTTTCCCTATCCAGGTGGTACAGAGATCCCTACCCATGCTTTACCAGCTGGGCTGAAATCAGTCTTGAATTAAATTAGATTTTAATACTGCTTACAGTTAAACCCCAAAACTTCAAATTTTTTTATCCTTGATATTAAAAAAAAAAAGAAATTCTAGCAATTATGTAACACTAAGGTTTTGTATTGGCAAATCTGTTTAAAGCTTAGAATTGATGAGATACAAAAAGTATTATTTTATAACAATTTATATTCTATACCCAAAATATTACTATTTCACAAATCTTCTAATATTTTCCTGCATTTTCAGAATTGCCCACAAGATGGAGCAGCTAATCTTCGATAAGCATCCAGGTTTGAAAGGGGGTGTGTGCATATATTACATTTATATAGACAGTTCATATCATGTTCCTCTCTCTGTTTTAATGGAAACACTGTCAGGCTACATCTCCAGATAAATGTTAAATGCAAGATGTAAGAATGACAGTGGTAGTTGCAAATCCAGTGCATTTAATCATTATTTTAGAACCAAAAAAAGGAAACATAAGGAGCTTGTTGTAGCAGAAAGATGTCAGTAGATCCTCCTTGTAGTGAAGCTGATTATGATGGAGAAGGAAGAGATGTACAACATATTTGAAGCTTAGCTTTAAATACAGAGGAGTAGGGTGAGTATCTTAATAAATCCAAAGTTATTTGAAGCAGAGTCCTTAGGGAAACTGAAACACTTAGCATAACAAATATGTTTTTCAATGTGTATTTTCTTCACACTGAAAATTTGTCTCACAGGGACTGAAGTTCAGAGCTATGAAGAACAAAATTAAAAGGAAGACATCAGACTGGCTCTGTACCTTCATTTAACAAGTTAATTCCATCTTGCTTCCCATCCTGTGAGTGACCTGGATCCAGAGAGGATTGAGAAAGACTAACTTCTGCTGAAAGTTGGTCCAGACTTTGAAAACTTTTCCTGAAAAGCAAGTAATATTTGATAGCAACACATTTAAAGATCTAACTAGGTATCTTCAACTCTTCTTAAAAAGTTTTCTAAAAAAACCTATGCAGTTAATCTTTCTTCTCTTAAATACTGTTTTGTTTATTTCCTAAAGCAATGATTTCTTTTTCTGCCCTTTTTAAGAAAATTGATCCAAAGGATGAAAATTTTTATAGAAAGCAAGAGAAACTGATTGTAGTTACCAGTGATCTTTGCACATTGTAACAAGTGACTTCAATAGGATAAAGTATGCTGAGGAAAATACATAATTTTCAGTTTCCCTGTTCCTCTAAGGGAGAATCAAAATAAATATGAAACTTACTCATCCCATTGTTGATTGTGCTTTCTATAGAGTAGAGTGTCCAAGGCAACAGCATTGACATCCAGAGCTCCTGGGGAAGGCCACTGATTGGTGAGGTGAGTAGTTAATTCTTGTCTTGATCTCAAGTCATTATTCTTTAGCACAGTTCTGTGAATACAAAAAAAAAAAAAAAAAGTCTATTAAATGCAGTTCAAAGGAAAACTAGGACACAGATGATCATAGAATCATCATGGTTGGAAGGAACCTTTAAGATCATCCAGTCCAACCATCACCCAGCACTGCCACTATAACCCCTGAACCATATTACCCAGTGCCAGACGCAGATGCCTCTTAAACACCTCCAGGAACGGTGACCCCACCACCTCCCTGAGCAACCTATTGCAGCCTGACCACCTGAACAGTGAAAAAAATTTTCTAGCATCTAATCTGAATCTCCCCTCTTAAGTCTCATCTTAAACCCATTTCTTGGGGTCCTGTCAGTGTAGCCACAGCAGAAGAGACCCACCCGCACTCACTACAAACTCCTTTCAGGAACCTGTAGGGAGTGATGAGGAACGTGCTGAGCCTCTCTACCCAGACTAAACACCCTCAGCTCCCCCAGGTGTTCCTCACAGGATGTGATTTCTGCCAAACAGTCCTCAAGCTTCTCCTCCCCCAGCCTGTAGCACTGCACGGGGTTGTTGTGACCTAAGGGCAGGATCTGGCACTTCACCTCATTGAACCTCATGCAGTTTTCTTCAGCCCATTGGTCAAGTCTCTCCAGATCTCTCTGCAGAGCCTTCCTACCTTCAGCAGATCAACACTCCCACCCAGCTTTGTGTCATCTGCAAATTTACTGAGGGTGATCTCAATTTCCACGTCCAGATCATCAGTAAAGATATTAAGCAGGACTGAACCCAAAACCGAGCCTAGGGGAGCACCACTAGTGACCATCCAGATATTCTACTTAAGGTGACCAACAGATTGCAATTTTCACAAAGCATCTTAGACTGTTTGCTTTTCCTAGGGGAAGCAACATAGAAACACGTTGAGACATATTTAAAAAAATATATATATTAAAAAAAAGATATTTGAATCCTTCTACAAAAACAATAAAGAAAAGCAACTGCATTTAAAAGGTCCTTTCTGCTAGCATAATGGTAATTGACAGGCCAGCTATTTTGCAAGCCCACAGTGGGAATGTGATGTGCTTCCCTCAACATCAATTTTTGCATCCCCCTTCAATACTTTTCCAGAATGAGCTAAAAACCAGACATGTTAATTCCACTGTATGCTTTCAGGCAAAATATAATACATAATTATTCTATCACCTTACAGTTTCTAGTAACTATGTCTGTAACTGATATAAAATGGTAAACTGAATACGTTAAATGCTCAAATTATTTTTGCCTCATATTCCCAAGAAAGCAAAATCAGTCTTCTAAAATTCTAGAACTGAATAAGCTAATATGCCAGTATTGGAAATCATCTGCCAAAAGTCTGAATATGCTAACATAAGGAAAGTACATAGTTTTTCAGGCTCCAAGACAAGACCAGCCTTTTCCCAATAGCACAAGGCAACCTTTGATCTGCCCTTTTACTGCTGTAGAATAACTAGAAATAAAAGCAATAGCATTTTGTAATTGGATTTTGTAAGTCCTCCAATCCACAAAATACTAGACAATAGTAAAATGTTGCTTCACAAGGAGTTTGACTAACTCAGGCCTGAAGCAAAAAGCTAATTTACTCATTTCCATACCAAATGTACTCAGAAGTTCAAAATCAAATGCCATGTTGCTATCTGAAATGCCAAACTGCACAGCAAATTAAATAACTACTCATAGCACACATATATTTACATGAATTTTCCAATAACATTTTCAACAGGTCTATTTTTACAATACAGTTATTATTCTGCTGGTATTTGAACTGTTTAGACAGGAACTTCTGTAAGGGCAAATAACAGTGCCCAAAGAGCCAAAATTTCCCATAAAACAAAGTAAGGAACTTTTAGCAGCTGAGTTTCACAGAGGAGACAGATTCAGAGTTTTATTGCACAAGAAGGGGATTAAGCACAACCATGATTAAAACTAGTTTCAAGAAACTTTTCTCAAGATGACTAAATTCCCTCAGCATTCACACAAGTAAACAATCAACTTTTCTACCCAGAGATTCACTCCTATGAGGTCTACAGGAATAACCACTATACTAACCCAAAGCTCTCAATTATTTCAAGTATCTTGCATGGGATTCACTTCCTCATGAAATAACCCTAATCCCCTGGGGAACACTGAGCATTACACGGGGCTGTTACAGGTTTGTTGATTTGAGGAAACTGAAACAGCAAGATAGCAAGTTCTTATGAGGTTTGCCAGGTACATTACATCACCTCCTTATTCAGAAGGACATCTTGAATGTTTTCACAGAAGTTTCAGAACAGGACACAGTTTCTGTGACTATGCCCACAGTGCCTCAATGTAAATGCACACATATAACACGTACATGCAGATTTCCATTTGGACAACCCTGGTACACTATGACAGACACATGATCACAGACACACATCTACACACAAGTTGCTAACAGTGGAAGTTTTGCATTTGACATAGGTTTCTATATTGAATATACTTATATTTCTATTCTCCACAAATCTTTACACCCTACTAACCTGAAATTTCACCTTTTCTGTGTAAACAAACAAATTCTGAAGCCTAAGACTCACCAAAATTCTCCAGAAATTTTAACATAACATTTAAAGATAGTTTCAGTTAATCACTTCTTAAACCACTCCACCATGCTCAGGAAGAAAACCAGGCATCAAGTAGGATAAAAAAATAAATATTATCCTCTTAAAACTTTTATTTTGAATCTTTAAACATATGTAAAAATAGATTTGAAATTATAAAATGAGTCCAAGAACAGTATCAAACACATAAAAAGTAGTAGTATAGACAATAAGTTAGACAAAATATTAATACCACATGCTATTATTTACCACCTATTTTATCAGCTTTGTAGATGATTCAGCTCTTTGCTCTTTTGCAGATATTTTTCAAGTATAATAAGATTCCACTGCAGCAGAGAGCCATTATAAAGGCATTGCCTACAGACAGCAATTCTCTTGATATGCAAAAACTGTCATTGCTTTTGTTTAATCAAATTTATTTGAAGAGTCAGCACAGAAACACAGGACCATTTAGGTAGGAAAAGACCACCTTCAAGATCATTGAGTCCAACCATAAGCCCACCACTAAAGCATGTCCCTAAGTGCCATGTCAACACAGCACACAGAATCCTCACACTCAGTCACCATGAGGAAAGATGATCCTGCTACAAATACCCCAAAACAGGAAAAGAGGTGGATACAAAAACACGTACTACAGGAAAAAAAATTAAAAGGAAGAAAATATGGTCAAGTTTTAATGAAAAAAAGCAAATAAAAATTTCAAAACTCAATGTGACAAAAAAGCTGTGCAAGACTATCTAGTGCTGTCCTACTCTTGTTCAGACAAAAGAAATGCTTTCTAGAGGTTAAGAGCTCTCAAAGGAGAGCAACTTATTTTATCCAAGGCATACTGAATTTCTACAGTAGTGCTCTTGTTTTCCAGAATACAAACACTGTAATCAGGCTGGCCAACTCTGTGTAGAGGTGCTGCAGGGTTTGAGGCAGGACTTTTCCTCACACTGGGACTGCAATGAGTATATAGTTCTATTTTTTAAATAAAGTTCAATAAAATATGGCTCTATTGGGTTTGTAGTTGTGAAGACTGAAAGATGCTGCAAGATAAGGTTTGTAGGACAGTATGTTAAACCATTTAATACAGGAGTAAAAGCAAGGATACTCCAAAAATAAAAAAGGGTAAATAAGATAGGCAATAGGATTTATTAAAGGAAGAAGTTAGAAAACAAAGAAATAGAATTAAACCTGAAAGAAAATAAGCATATAAACCAAGCTGTTAGGTCCTTTTCTTCAGTCTGGAAAAGAAGATAATAACAGTGGCTAAAAGTAATAACCTCAGGAAGGCAGTGCTACATGGAGAATACCGTGGATCTTAGTAAGAGATTGTAAGGCTGTTTTTTGAATGAAAGACAGGCAATGTGTGAGGTATGGCTGAACAGAGTATCCTGGACTAACAGAGTGGGACTGCAGAGTGCTGAAGGTTTTGTGCAGTGTAGGAAGACTACATAAGAACTGATTATGAGAGCAGGGGGGTTAAACCCATTTATGGTACATTCTCTAATCTTGCCGTGAAAAAATTCATGATTGCCTGAGAGCCTGTGAGCTTCCCCTCTCTCATCCAACTAACTGGTATCCTCTGCATCTACAATTATTTCCATCTCTTTACAATCATGTTGGAAAACAAGTAGCAGTAACTGTTTCATAAGCTGCAGAAAGTAAACAGCTATACCCTCAGCAGTCCTTACCCCAAACAACAGTTTTGCAAGATAACTTCCTATAGCGTTTCAAGTTCTGCAAACATTATAAAATAAAGAAATAGTGAAGAGATAGGCAGAGAAAGAACACTCAACAACAACCAAAACATCAGACTATTACCAACATTAATCTCAAATTGAATCCAAAAAACAGCACTGTACTAGCTACTGGGAAGAAAATTAACTCTATCCCAGCTGAAACCAGGGCATTTCTTTTTAAATGACCAAATACCCTTTGTACGACTTCACAGCATAGATTTTTCCATAATGCATATATATAAGGGAAGTATAACATACATTTGTCCCAGGATAACATTTATGACATGTGAATTGGGTGGGATTTTCTTAATATCAGAAAAAAAGAAAAACTTTATTTTCAACTTGTGAGAACAAGTTGAAAATACTACTGCAAGTAATAATTTCTTTTGGCAAAACAATCAGCAAAAGCAATGAGAACATTTTAGTACTAAAGTACATAATTAAAAACTAACAAATATTTGCCTTACATTTATATTTTTTGTTCTCTATACAAAGAGCTACTATTAAAATTAGGGTCCTCTTCAATAACAAAGAAACCTGTTCAGTAAAAACATCCTGCTGAAGAATTCCTGCCATGCCTATTACAAAAGATTACTGATGAGTCATTAACTAATCAATACTAACACACTCCCAGGGTGGAAATAAGTGTCTGTAGATACACATGCTCCCTCCAGGCCTGTAAATTTACTTACTTT